GGGGGCCTCAGTGCTTCGGAGGTGCAGTGACTGACGTGGCGTAAGACATGACCCGGTCAAACTGGGTCCTATACTCGCACAGATTCACAGACTTTCACCGTCTTCATCTGTCTACCAATCCAAGGGGTTGCCACGAAGCTCAGGACAGCCTTTTAGAGCCATATACTGAGAAGGACTACTGACAAAAACATGGTAAGTTAGAAGGAGCATTTCTGCCTTGTTAGCTGTAAATAGCCAGCTATATCCCAACCCCATGTATGCAACCCTTGGGCCTCGTTTTCGCTGGGATCGTTGGTCGCCCGCGTGATTAATTACTCTGTCTCGACAAACTCTTAGCTCAGAATATGGAGCCGAAAGGTCGACTGCACGCCAGATAAAACGAAGACTCAAGCAGCCCACTCGGTTGTCAGTCCTTGTTTAAAGGTGTGACCGCGTCGCGTGGAACGAGCCGCGACCTGGCCACGAGAGTCCTTCATCACTGCTGTCGTATGTTCAGCCATCCGAGCGCGCAGCACTCCCCCACTTCCTTAGACGGACGAGAAACAGGAACTTCAAACCACCAAACGTCTTGTTCTATGTTCGGTCATACGGTCAGTTCGCCTGGCTTATGTTTGTAGCGGTTAAGGCAGATGCAGCACAAGCCTTCCATTCCAAAACCCGAATAAATACATGCATGTTATGTGGGAATCGTGAATAAACCAACTAGAGTAGTTTGATTTCATCATAGTCTTAAACTGCCGATATTACTGAGGCTCTGTTTTCTTTTCAGAAAAAACTCGCAGCCGCCACAGGTACTGGAGACAACAAGAAATCGGACTAGGCTTCTGTGTGTGCTTTTGGGGTGTCGAAGTCAACGATCAATCTCTCCCAACCTTTCATCCTTCCGCCTTTTAAGTGGGATACGCACTCTGGCCTCTTTGCTGTCTTTTCTTTTTAAATCTCGGTTTGCTTCGATACCGCTTCCCATTGAAACCAGCTCCAACCGCCCACCCACCCTCCGTTCTCTCCCCTCCCCCTTCCGGTTAATCCCGTTATGTCAATCCTTGTAATGCTTGTTGAATTGTTTGCTGGCTTGAAAACCGTCCAAAATTCGCTCGTGAGTACTATTGGCCTAGTGTTCTTTTTATTTCC